ACACACACACACACACACACACACACACACACACACACACACACACACACACACACACACACACACACACACACACACACACACACACACAAGTAGCAGTGTATATTTCCCAGTTCTAGTCGTAGGTTCATTCGATTTTGCTTATCCTATCGATGGAACTAGCGTGAGGTCATCGGGCGGTAGGAGCACACAGACCCGTACACACACACACACACATCCATGGTAGTGTACGTATCCTTATTCTAGCGGTAGATTTGTTTGATCAAGCTCATCCTATCGATGGAAGTACCATGAGATAAGCCGCGCGATTGAAGACTTACCTGTTCTTTCATTTTCTTCGTCGCCGTCGTTACCGTCGTCGTCGGTTTGCTGCTCCCCGCTCCTCCACGATGTGCAGCATACCATGACCATCGCACGGGGAGCTCGACCGGCACAAACGTGCGTTCCAACATGCTGGCCGGGTGACGGGTAAGTCATAGTTCCCTTGCCTCTCTCCTTCTTCTTCTTATTATTTTCCCTTCTACTTCTTCTTCTTCTTCTCCCTTCTACTTCTTCTTCTTCTTCCTTCTACCTCTTCTCCTTCTACTTTCTTCTCTCCGCGCACCTCCTTCCTCTGCGCGACGCTCCTTATCTCCGCGCGTGCTTGCCTATATCAACGCTTGCCAACACCTCTTCGCTAACTCGCTGGTTTCCTCTTTTCGCACCCACGCGATTCACCCCTGCTCCCGTACGCGCCTTGTTTTTCTTCCTCCTCCAGGCTGCGCTCTTCTTCCTTTCCTTCACGCGCTCTTTTTCCCCCTCTCTCTTCTTCTTCTTCTCCTTCTTCTTCTTCTTCTTCTTCTTCTTCAGCGCACGCTTTCTTTTTCTCTGTACGCCTCCCTCTTCCACGCGACGGACCATTCTTCCCTCCATGCACCTCCTCCTTCTGTGCGGTCATCTCCTCTACTCGTTTTTTATACCAATCCCCTTTCGCAGGCGCTCTCTTTTCTCTCTTGCCACCATCTCGTTCTTCCTAACTGCGCGGTCTCCCTTGCTGCACCACTCTTTATCTTCCTCGCTTTGCCCACTTGCCCACACCATGTCTTGCTCATATGCCTGATAGGATCGGGTCGACTTCGTTCGTAGGTCTGCAGTCATGTCGAGATGTCAAAGACCTCCCGGGAATGAATTTGCCCGAAACTCGGGGCAAATTCACTAAGGTAAGTTTAAAGAGATTTGTACTCGTTTAGAAGGAAAGAAAAGAAAAAGCAAAGAAAAAAACTTCATCAAGAAATTTCAAAAAAAAATTAAAAAATCTAAAAAGAAAAAAAAAAGAAAAAAAAATCTAACAGAATCAAACTCCTAACTACCCTAACTTGCCAAATGTCAAGCCCCATTTCAACGGGGCAACTACAACTAACTCTGATAACGAGGTCGTGAGTTCGAGTCCCTGCCGTCTAAGACCGGGGCAAAATACAGTTGAGCTCCTCATAAAAAAGAGCTAGCTCAGAAAGCAGTAGGCCTCGATCCCCACATTCCCTGTTTAACAAACCACACCTAAACCTACTGAGCTAGCTTCCACTTCAACTAGAAGGTGAGCAACTCAGTATGTATATAGTAGTTGGGCTCAGTCCGACCAGTGGCCTGAGCCCGTTTTCCAAGTTTGTGTGTGTGCACTTTTGCTGGTTTGTACGCCGTCTGAGTGTTTGTCGTACTAAGTGAGGGTGTGACCCGCAGCTCTGTGGGTGTGCGTGCTTGCTGGTCTGCGGGTTTGTCTGTATGCTCGTCGGCTTGAGTGAGTGTGTGAACTGCAAGGGCACTTGATTAATCGGAAGGTCCGACGGGCCGGTACTTACCTGCGACCGTGACAATTGAGGGTTACGGCGGGAAAATTATCAAGTAGTGGGGTAGGTCCGCACACTTTAGAACAGCGGGGAAAGCACTCAAGTAGCAAGTATGTCGGTGTCACTCAAGGGCGGTAGATGTACCGGGTACTCGAGGCCGAGCAAAAGAAGACAAAAGTTGGCATTTTTAGAGGCCCAATACCGGTGATTAGGCGGATACCAGTTTAAGTAGCTGGGTCTAAGACGTATGCGAACGATACAAGGGCCCGCAATGATATTTCCTTCCGAAAGGGAGGAAACATCAGTTGCTTGGGTAGTCGTGCAGTCAGGAAGTCGCCGCCTCGGAGGAAAATCCCTCTTTACATACGGGAGGCCGAGTTTGAGTGTCAACCTCACTCACGGCATACGAGTAAGGACAGAGGTTTCGCTCGAGCAAGTGCGAGCAATTCGGGCGGTACCACAAACCTAATGATCACACACTAATAATTGTTCTGGCCGTATGGTCGGGACGTATATTTGTTTATCCTGACTAATATACTGACGATTAAGTCTCAGCGTGCGTCGTAGATTTACCTTACATAACACTAATCCAATCAACTCCTTTACCTTCTCGGCTGAAGGGTATTACTACCGTTCCTGATCATCAGAGCAAGTGTCATAATAACGTGCGCTCATACTTAAAAATTTTCTCACCGATTAGCGTCGTCCTCAATGGTAGAGGAAATCGTTTCAACGTGTTGTCCAAAAAACGCACGCGCCTTAAACTTTCGGACCGGCCCCGTCTTGGTAACCGATGTCATCCCTGTGTCGACTGCAAAAGGATGTCATTGGCCAAATACTCTTGTAAGGGTATTTGGTCCGACACCTCGCACATGCATGCACTAGCTGGTCATAGTAGGATAGATAGGATCGAAATGTAGATGGAACACACATCATCATCATCACATAGTGTGAGGGCTCTGGCGCTGCACACAGGAAGAAACCGTCAGGCTCAGATCATACACAGATGAGGAGGAGGGGAATGAGACGAAGAGGGGGAAGGAGATAAGAATGTCGTCAACACATGTGGTCGCTGTGTACATGTGGACGAATCGCAATATCACAAATCTCTCTCTCTCTCTCTCTCTCTCTCTCTCTCTCTCTCTCTCTCTCTCTCTCTCTCTCTCTCTCTCTCTCTCTCTC